TCCTCCACACTGATAAATACATGGCATGCTGCAAGGATATAGTATAAAAGCTATTTCCATATATTTCACAACATAAATAGTAGGCTTTCTTTGGAAATTACTTGGGGTTGTTGTGTGAGAGACAATAAGTCAGTTTTGACATGTCAAATACCATAACCAAAGTAAAAAACATAAACCATCAAAGCAACAAATATATTATTTCTTTGTTGACTAGACAGAGGATATTTATTAGGTCTTCTTATTTTTCTGAAGTAAGGAGAAAAGGATGGCTTTGCTAATGCTTTGTGATTTCTGAAAGCAGACTACCAAACTGGGTGGCTCTCAAGAAGACTTACAGAAGTATATTTAGTATCTCTATACAAATATACATACACATACTACTCTACAGTCAGTAGAACCACATTTAACACAAGTTCCCAATGCTAGTTTGAATTTTTTGTTAGCTGGCAGAAAAATTAAGAAAAAATAAAGGCTTCTTGAACTGTCAAATGTTTCTGGAAAGAATCCAATTTGCAAAGATGATAATTTTGTTTTAATACAGAGCACATGATTTTCTTGATGTCCACATTGTAGAGGCTTGACAGACCTTTAGTAATTTATATTATTCCCTTTCCAAATAAGACATATATATCAAAATAAAGGAAGTTTTGAGATGCTTATATGACATAGTATGCGCAGCTAAAGAAATACATCATGTTAACAGGGTCAGTATGTTTGTCTCTGTTTTTCCTGTTTCTTGAAAAAAAAATTCAAGGCAAATGAAAAGGACCAAGGAAATAGACCAAAATAGATTTTTCTCAACCTATAGAACACAAAATTATATTCTTCTTTCCTTAAAATTTTTGGTTCTTTAGATAAAATCATACTTTCTAAAATATTGTTTTAAGATTCAGTGATGAGTATAAATTAATTTATCTCACACTGTTGGTGCTATAAGTTCATGTCTGTTGAATAAATTTAGATAATGTAAGAGAAAATCAAAATCATCACGCACTGAAAATACAACTATTAGTATTCAATATAATGTCTAGCTTTCAGATCATTTTAACTTGCTTTAAACATTTCACTTTTAAGACTAACAGAAGTAGTGAGAAGGAAGTTATAAAGATCACTATTGTAATCATATTAAATAAACAGTTCAGTTGGCTTTCTTTAGTTCACTGACATTTTTTTGGACAAAACTTCAAAACAAAATCTCTAAACTTTAAAGAATTTTGCAAGCTATCTGGTTTTTCAACTAGTATAATATGCATGCTTCGACATTAAGTTGAACAATTACTCCTCCTGAAGTATTTCCCAATTTCCTGAAACAGAATCTGTTGCTCATATTGAGACTCTCATAGCATGTCATCAACTCTTTTTTATAGCACTTCTAACAAAATGAACTTTTTTTGCCTCATCCAGGGATCAGTTTAGAAATCTTTATAATCTCAAATTTGGTACTTGGCTTAACACACAGGAAAAACTAAATGCAGGTCAAATGAATTAATTATTGAACAAATAAATAAATAAATGGATTTATGTATGTATTATGTATCAAATTTCAAGGCTCCAAGTTTGTTGATGTGAAGGGCTAAGGCAAACATGAAAAACCTCAACTCCACCATCTATACTATCTTCCTTTGCTTCTCTTTATGCTACTATTTGCAATTTCATCTTGCTTTACTACTAGTTGCTAATTACTTCTGTGTAGATGTCATATAGATAACTCAGACTAAGATCCCTAGAATAAAATTTCTTGTCTTCCTCATTCTCCAAACCAAAAAGTCCTTCTATATTCTCTTTTTAGCTCCTTTTAAACTTGTTTGTTTTAGTTATACATGACAATAGAGTATAATCTGACATATTTATACAAACATGGAGTACATCTTATTCTAAATAGGATCCTAGTCTTGTGGTTGTACATGATGCAGAGATTCACTGTGGTGTATTCATATATATGCATAGAAAAGTTATGTCAGAATCATTCTGCTTCTTTCCTATTTTAGGTTCAATGACATCAGTAGCCTAAATCAGCCTCAGTTTTACATTTGACTACTTCTGTCACCTTCATTTAATAAGTTAATAAGCTGTCCTGTTTCTATTTCCAAAATAGCTTTTTATCCACAGTCATTCAAGCAATCAATCTACAGTAATTGAGTTTCCATTCTGTGTTTTGGATATTTTTCTGGTTATTGTGATGTACATAAAATCCACTAGACTCTTCTTTAATATAGTATAATAGAGAGACAGTTAAGTACCACAACAGATATAATATATGAAGATAAGTGCTTGATTTCTTTTTTCAGCAATACAAGGAAAGATCTTAATTAGATTTGGGAGGAACAAGGAAAGCTGCCTGTATAATATGGTATGTGATGTACAGGTATTGGAAGAAGAAGGGCAAGGAAGGCAGAGAAATATTCAGATAAAAGATGCTGTGAGATTTAAACAAGTATGGCATGGTTTGGTCATCTAAATAGTTTGGCTGAAGTGATGCTTTTAAAACACTGATGATAAATATGATTATGTGAATACAGAGTTAGAGAAAATGTAGGTCATAAAGACGCTTGTATTAAAAGTAAAGAAATATAAGACTTAACCTAGAAGCTATAGAGATCACTGAAGGATTTAAGCACAAGAGCAATATAATCAGATCTATACAAAGATTATTCCATCAGTGCTTGGCCAAAGATTTAAAGAAATGCCAGTCTGCAGGAAAGGAAAATAACTGTAATAATTATTACATTAATTCTCAGGGAAAAGTAAAAAGGGCCTAAACTACAATATTGGTAATGGGAACGGTTTTACCAAGAGGGGAAATACCAAGTCAAAGGAGAATTTGGGATAGAGGTTTTAATTGATTGTGGGAAGCCATTTCTGACACGCGATTGGGTGGCTCCCGTTAAGGGTCTGAAGTGCTTTGGCTGTGTCGAAGCTTTCCCAGCCCTTTCCTGATGAGAGAGCCCATCCATGTGGGGGTGTGCCTGACCACTGACCCCGGGGACCCAATCACTGACCCTGACCTTGGAGTGCAGCCCCCCCTCAACCTTCATTGGATGGAATTCTCCCTTGAATCTCTTGTTCCCCAATAAAAGGCTACTCCCAGGCATGTTCAAACTCTCTCTCTCCTGCTAGCCCTGAGTAATCCTTGCTGCCCTGCTGGGCGGTTACAGGAGGGAACCAGAGAGGTGAGCTGTCTCGGACCTAGCAATAGAAATAAGGTAACTGAGTCTGTGTGTTTTATTTCGATCTCTTCTAACCAACTTTATGCCTAGAACCTCATTAATGAAACCACTGCACAGGCCACATTGTAGAATTGATGGCATGAGGTTATTTAGGAGTAAGAACAGAATTTGATGCAAAACATGTTGAACTTGAACAGGCAGAGGATACTTAAATGAAGACAGGAAGAAAAATTGCTGCCTATAGGGATAACCTTGTAGGTGGCACATAGTGTTTTCAGACAAAATACAAATGCCCAGTTAAATTTTAATTTCATATAAACAATGCATAACTTTTAGTTTAAATATTTTCCAAATATTATATCTTCATTGCTTCACTAGTTTCCTATTCCTGAATGCTATACATCTCATTTAGCTGCTTTGGAAATTCTTACTTATTCATCAATGTTAGCTCAAATTCTATCTTTTTTGCAAAGCTTTTTCTCTCAAAGCATTATGTATTATATAGTATTCACTATTCATTTTTATATTATAAAGGCTTTTATGTGTATATAGATTTTATTTCTTGAAAGTAGGGATAAAGATTTTTTTCATTTTGTAGCCTTAGGGTATAGCACAATTGCTGTATTAAATATAAGAGATAGCAAATATTCAGCAAAATTTGCTGAATAGATAAATGAATGAATGTTATTTCAGAGCTCTATCAGTTTTTACCTAGCTTTTTACAGTTTATGTCCCTGCCTTCAGTTTTTCTGATCTTTAAAACACTCTCCTTATTGACATATGAGGTATATTTTCAAAAAATAAACCATGTAGGATACTTTACTACTTAAATATATTTGATTACTTTGTGATGCCCATAGAATAAAGTAGAAACTATTCAACATGATAATGAATGTTCTCCACATTTTAATTCCCAAGCTAAGCTGTTTATAGCTTAGACTTGGCAAATATATCTGTGTTAAAATTCTGGGTATACCACTTGATATTTGTTTAATTGTGAGTGAATAACTTATTAATTTATAAATGGGGGTAATATCTAATAATGCTGCTGTAAAAATTAAATGACTTCTATAAATTTACTGCAGTATACATTATACAGTCTAGTACAGTTATATTATCAAACAAAGCTACTAATTTTTTTTCCGGTTTCTCCTATCCTTTCCTCTCCCCTTCTTTCCTCAATTGACACCTTCCCCTCCATCTATATTTCATAACTTGCCACTCTTCCAGGATTCATTTTTTCATATCTTTATTCACAATGTATATTTGCTTATAATGCCCAGATTTTATGGTAGCCTGTGTGCAAAGCTTAGTATTTAAATTTTCTATAAGTAATTCCTAGTATATGTACATAATAACAGCAAAGGATATTTGATATTTGTTTAATTGTGAGCGAATAACTTATCAATTTGTAAATGGGGGTAATATCTAATAATCCTGCTGGATTATTAATGTTTCGTTAGCTATTTTGTGATATGTAAAGGTTCCAGGATACCATAGGTTTTCTTTTATTTTAATCAGTTATATGTTATTGGCCCTAAAGACTTTTAATGGTCAGAAAATTCTCATTCATTATTTGTATGCTATGGCTTTCAGAATTTTTATGTGCTTTTCCATATCTTCAACAAAATCTTTTTTGGAGTGAGTTATATGATTCAAAACATTATCCTAATAATAACTAATTCTATATCAAATCAGGAAAATCATTTTGAGTTACCTGAATCCTGACATCAAAAAGTGTCTTAAGTGTTCTGATATTCATTAGTTCCTTTTTCATTTTCCCATTCATTGAGAATTGAGATTAGCTATCCATATCAGACTTTTTTTTTTTACCTTTGGTCCTTCAGGGCCATTTTGTCCAGGAATCCCAATATCTCCTGGAAAACCCTAGGGGATATAAAAATAGAGTTTATTTCATATCAAATTACTTTAAATCTATTAATAATATAAAAACACCCTTTTCCTTTCATGCCCACTTAAAGCAACTTATACTCTTCAAAAGATCACTATTTTAAAAATCACATTAGATAGTTAACATTGGAATATAAAACAAAGTATACTAAAAGAGAACTTACTTTATCAATTACACAAACAATCCTCAAACCTAAAGAAAATTCTCTGATCCAATGTAAGAGAATGGAAATCTTATTAAAAAATATTACAACTTGAGTGTGAGGCAAAAAAGGAGTGTGTCATATCCTTTCAACATCCCATAGAAAACATGGCCACTGAGGATTAGATGAATTTATTATGTTAGATTTACTGTATAATAACTATATGTGAACATGTAGAGTTTTTGATAGTTTGGTTCGAAAAAACAACACTCAAAACAAACAATGTGGCTTAATATCCAGGGTATTAGTAAATTTTGTATCTAAGTATCTTATTGTAACATCCCATATTTAATTGTCTGTAAATACTCAGCTCCCAAAATGCAATTTGAACTCAGTGTCTTACTGGTTTCATCATCAATTGATAATAAAATCTTTGACTTATGCTCATATTGCACAAGAATAACATTTTTACTTTTTTGGAAATAATACTAGCAATCTAAAATTATTTCCGGAAACAGAAGCGAATCATAATGCTAATAAAATCGAAGCAAAGTCCTAAGATGTTACTCTAAAATGGGTAGATTAAAATTCATACTGAAGTAATGAATCAAAATTTGATACACTATGATTAATTTCAATAATGATAAGCTAATAATTATGGTTTCATTTGTATTGATTTTATCACACAGTTGTTTCAGTGTTTCTCATTGACATGAACAAAAGGGGAAAAAGTAAGGAAAATGCAACAATCAAATACAACTCTTTTTTCTTTAGTTGTAGATGGAGATAGTACACGTACTTTATTTATTTTTATGTGTTGCTGAGGATGGAACCCAGTGCCTTATGGATGCCAGCAACTTTAAAAGCAAAGAAGGCTGAAGATGAAATATTAATGTCAGCCAGAATAGGTAGCTTAGTTAAGGGATAAATGTGATGGGGGTAAAAACCCAACAAGTAAGATGGGACAGCAAAACTAGTTCTAAAAAGAAAAACAAATTTAAAAAGTGATGTTTATTCCTCAAGACTGGATTAAAACAGATATGCTTTGACAGATTAAAAGCCTGATTTAAAACTTGGATTCTGTGGAGAAAAAGTAAAGTCAGGGACACTTCAGACAAAAGAAAAGGCAGTGGTACCTCAAATACTAAGCACCAGATTAGATTTCTAGAAATTTTGGAACAGTTATTATGGATATGCTTAATATAGACTTGTTGATTGCTTCACTAATCAAAGGGAATCAGGTTGAATTATGTTAATATTGTGTGTGTGTGTGTGTATATATATATATATAATTAGATTCTTCTCCTGACAGTTTTGAACCTTTCTCTTGAACACACCCTTCATTGCTTTATTTAAGGGGAAAAATCACCATCAACTTGTATCAAGACACCTCTGCTCTAGTTTCTATTGTAAGTGAGTTGTCAAATTTGAACAGAGTATCTTCTCCAGTATGTTCCTCTCTCATTCTGCATTTCCTCTTTACCCTTATCCACAAATTTCCAAGCCAAAAAGCTGTACTTCATCTTTAAATACTTCTTTTCCCCCTAAGAACTCACAAACTATTCTCAAGTCCAACATAAGCACTTAACCTGGGGTTTTGGCCTATTTTATTTTCCTTATCAGGTTGTAAACTGCTTGAATATAATATACCATTCACAACTCTATTCCCACCAACTAGGACAAAATCTGGCAGAAATTTGCTGCTGTTGACTGACTGACCTCTTTGGAAATAGAAGACAACATGTCTGCTTGCCACTTTTGATCCCTGAGTACTAGTTTACAACCAGTTCAGACCCTGGTTCACAGCATCACCATGGAAAAAATCATAGCTTGTCCATTTTCCAGATGATCCTAGAACACCTTGTCACATCAGAATACAAGGAAGTAAGGAAGCCTGTTGTCAAAATACAACAACAAAAACTTCCTGTGTATAAAGATGAAAGGGAGTCAACTCTATCTGGAAATGTAGTTTAAAAAAAGGTGAACCACCAAGCATTTATTTTTCCTTTCCTATATGTACTTTACCTTTATTATCCAAATAATAGATAAGAAAATATATTCCAGCCAATAAATAAAAAATAATAGAGTTTAAAAAAACCATTCATTTTGCAATCCTGCAAATGATGTAATGGATTTGACACTGAGTTTAAACTGTTACTAACATCACACACACAGAAAAGAGAGATACTAGACATTATGTGCTACTTGATGAAAGAACACACTATCACCCATTTTCTTGCCAAAACAAAGAAACAAACAAACATGAATATGGTCAGGACTCTGTAATATGACAACCAATTTTCAAGAAATACACAGAACAAAGAATTATCAGAATTACACCATGAGTCTGTAACAAAATTAGACTAAGCAAAACTTTATAAGGCCAAGTGATGGGGGAGCTTCAACAACTAAATTTTAAGGGGAAAATTTGGAATGGGGGAGAATTGGTAGACTGAAAGATGTGATGATTTGGATGTGTGGTGTCCCCCAAAAACTCACATGTGAGACAACACAAGAAGATTCAGACAAGAAATGATTGGGTTACAAGAGCCTTAACCCAATTAATTAATTAATCACCTGATGGGATTAATTGAGTGGTAACTGAAAGTAGGGTGTGGTTGTAGGAGGTGGGGCACTGGGGGTGTGACTTGGGGGTATATATTTGTATCTGGCAAGTGGAGTCTCTCTCTCAGCTTCCTGATCTTCATGTGAGTCACTTCCCTCTGCCACACTCTTCTGCCATGATGTTCAGCCTCACCTTGAGGCCTGAGGAATGGAGCCTGCAGTCAATGGACTAAGACCTCTGAAACTGTGAGCCCTCAAATAAACTTTTCCTCCTTTACAGTTGTTCTGGTTATGTCTTTTAGTCACAGTTATAAAATAGCTGACTGAAAAAAACATTTAGCAAATAAAACACACATGCCTAAACAATTATTTTTAAGGATGCATACTTAAGTAATAGAATATAAAAGAAAAACAGTTAGGAACTGCTTAATTTGAGCAAGAGAGATGAACTTGTGGTTGGCTGGGGTAACTGGCAGTTCTACCTCTGTGGTACTTACCAGGGTATTTGTCTTATAATTATATGTGAAATACATGTTTCATATAGTTCTTTGTGGGCTTTTTAAATTTTCTTTATATATTTTGGTACCAGGGATTGAATCCAGTGTTGCTTAACCACTGAGCAACATTTTCAGGCCTTTTTACTTTTATTTTAAGACAAGGTCTCACTAAGTTGCTTAGGGCCTCACTAAGTTGCTGAATCCTTTGAACTTGCCATCCTCTTGCCTCAGCTTTGCAATTTTCTGGGATTATAGGTATGTGTCACCACATCCAGCTCAATAAAACAGTAAGAAAAATTACTAAGGTGATTTAATAGATTTCATATATGTGTGAATCTTTCCTCCTTATTTTGATTTGCCACGATAGGCAAACACTTTACTACTGAGTCACATCCCCACCCCTTTGTCCCTACTTTAGAGAGTTAAAATATTAGTAAAGGAATATTAAAAACAAATAAAATTCCAAAGAAAAAGAGAACAAGATAAAAGATGTCAATAAATCTGATCTCATATTATAGTCAAGTAATTAAATATTTTAAAATTAAAACTACATTGAAATGCTCAGAAACACATTACCTTTGTACACAGGATAGCTTAGAAACTTAGCCAAATAACTTTTTCATTACTGTAAAAATTCATACCTGAGTTACTTCTGAGTAGAGAGCTTGACTTTTAAGTAAGACATTTTAAAGTATAAAAACTAGAGTTAACTTGATCAACTTTAATGATAACATATCTACCAAGGAAACTTTTTTAATGCTTAAATTTAGTTCTCAAACTGTAAATCAAACTACAGGACATGGGCATCTTTGCAAAGCAACAAAATTTCAGAGAGTTTACAGATTAAAAGGCAAAAAGTATAATATTAGAATCTACACTTTCCACTTTAAAAATTATGTTGGCATAAAATATATAAGAAAAATAAAAATAAAACCAAAAATCTAATAAAGATGCTTTAATTCATTTTTGTAATTCAAAATAACATTGATGTTGACAAGTCAAAACATTTTCGCCCACACCATGCTTCAGTATCTTACTAAGTCATCATATCACAATTGAAAATATAATGGCTTAGTGAGAAAAAGGAAGAACAGCCTGACTTGTGGTGTCTTCTTAGTAGAAATAGTGTGACCACCAATTTTTACCAAGAAGCAGAAAAATGAAGTAGCTTTAAAAATAATAAATACAAATGTGCCTTTTATTTTCAGGCCTTTCACATCTGTTTGTAGCTCTAAGAGTGATTCAGCATTCTCTCCAGTAAAAACAAAGTTTTATTATTTTCTAATCATTAAAGGCTGGAGACTAATTCACATGCATTTTTTATAGCAAAACCTGGGAACCAAAGCACTAGCAAAATTCATTAGTTTCCTAGGAAATCATAAAAGTAAAATATTGTCTTTCTTATTTGAAAGTAAATAAGAAAGCTCAAAAGTTAGCATCCTAACAGAATTAATATATGACACTTTATTGCATACATTGAACACGTTAGTAGTTTTCCTATAGGAGCAATAAGGTTTCTGTTTTCTATTGAAACATATAGTCTTTGTAGTTAAAATAGTAAGTGGATAAACAATCAACAAATAAGTAAACACAATGAGTAAACCAATGAAGGTATATGCATAAAATGAAACAACTTGCATGAATCTAAAAATGTTTATGTTAAGTGAAGAAGCCAGAAACCGACTGCCACCCCCAAAGTACATACTATATGAATATGTCTATATAAATATTTCCTTAGAAAAGACAAATTAATCTATAGTGACATAAACAT